TTCTCCTTTGGTTTCTCAGTACGAGTGCCCTTTACTTTTCTACTGCTCACACCACCAGGCAGTGCAACGTGCATCTGTTCTTTTGGAAAAAAATGCCAGTTCACTGTCATCTGCATCTCTCAGCCACGTCTAATGTTAGTATACTGAAGAAGGAAAATATTGCTCAAAATATTGCTAAAGCTGAAAACGGACAGGTGGTGGCAGCATTGGCCAGCTGCTGCGGCAGGACTGCTCAGGGCCGAGGCGGAGGACCTGGTGTTCTCAATCTGTCAGCCTTGCTTTTCTTAACGAAGTAAGGAACGAGTTCTGCAAGCTGGAAAATGATTTGGCCCAATCAAGATAACTTTCTTCAGTTCTGGTGGAAAATATGCCAGGTGCTATGTGTTGCGATGAATTAAATAATTTAATTGGAAGGGAGCTGGGTGAGCTGGTGGAGGTAATTTGGGATGGTAAAGCCCTGGCCAAACGAGCAGCTGCCCACGAGCCTGCAGTCGGCTGTCTGGAATTCCAACAGGAGCAGTTTGCTGATTACATGAAGGCAGAGCTTCAATAACAGCCTTGGGGCCTGACAATCTGTTTTTTTTTTTTTTTTTTTAAGTTTTGCTCTTATAAGGACAAAGACACAGATTATTACAGGAGAGCCTGTATCTCTCCTGCTCTTGTAGGTGTATTCCTGACCATTCTCTTCTTTATAGTCCCTGTACTGCAGGGCAGCTGGGTTTGGATTGTTCTTCATAGGCTCAGAAAGAAAAGCTGCTGATGTCAGACAAAGGTGGGGCTGATTTGAAAACTTAGGGCTTGGTTTTTCTTTAAGTGGAGCCAAGGGAAGTGGGTATTTTACTTCTAGTAAATGATCTTTATTGATGAAGAAGAAAAATATAGGCGAGTCATGGTAGCTAATGTTCATTGACCATTTCCTCTTTGTGAGGCACATGCTAAGCCATGTCGACACATTTCTTTTATTTATTTTTATTTTTTTAGTTGTAATTGGACACAATACCTTTTATTTACTTATTTACTTTTATGTGGTGCTGAGGATCGAACCCGGCACCTCCCATGTGCTAGGTGAGCTGAGCGCTCTACCACTGAGCCACAACCCCAGCACTGACACATATCTTAATAGGTAAAATAACACCAAGACACAGGTATTGTTATTATTCTTGTTTCACAGAGGAGGGAAAAACAGATTAAGTGACTCCCCAGCCAGTTTGTGGTGGAGCTGGGCCTCAGCCCCAGTGGGGTTCCTGTGTCCTGTGCACCGCTGCTGCACTGCCTGATGCTACCTTCTGAGGGTGCTTTTTTACTGAGCAGTAATCTGTAGCTGTTGAAAAAGAAAAACTCTTCAGGGCTGAGCCAAGGAAAGAGAGACCCACCTTAGCCAGAGCATATCAGCCTAACTTTAGTTGTTCATGAAAAAAAATCTGTGTCATAAAAGGCAGGCGGCATTTGACAATGGGGAAATACAAGATTGTCTGCTTGTATTCAGGGAAATCCTGGATATTCGATAGATTACTTGGCTACTGTAAAACGGAGATAGAAAATGTTTTTCCACTTTTTAAAGCAAAACACCTTTACACTCAAATCAACTCTACCCTTTCCTTTGCTGTGTAGGCCGAACGTAGGAAGAGAGGAGAGGGTGAGAGATCCCCAGGTGCCCACAGAACCCTTGTGGCAGCATCACCAGAATTCTTGACAATTCCCACCGAGAAAGCAAATAGGAGCAGAGCCTAGGAAGGTCTGCATATGGGCAAAGCCTTACGCCAATCAGAGGCCTCTAGAAGATAACAGCATCAAGTCAAGGGAAACTTTTCAAAGTCGTTTGTACTTTTTGCATTTCCTCCGCAGTAAATTAATCCTCTTACATTTTAGAATTCGCATTCCTCCTGTGGTTTAGAGTTTTTCTTTGTAGGTTCATCTTCAGAGAGAGTTGTTTGATTTTACTTTTCTATCTCTGTATCACTTCACTATCCCTTTCAGGCAGCTTCGAGTTGTTTCCAGAACTTTCAAACCAGAGCTGAGTTTCCTATGGATGGCTAAGGCTCCCACCCTGGGATGATGGTGGGGGTACATCAGTGAGCTCCTGGGAAGCTGGGCCAAGCATCAATCAGAGACAGGCTCTTTCTGCTGCTTCCAGACACAACAGGTCTCCCTGGGACAGGGGTCATTCATGTTCTCTGTTCCACATCTCTTCTTCTGTGCCAAGAGGGAGCCTAGGGCCATTACAGCCTCCTGCTGTATTGCTTTTATTCCCCATTGTAAGGAGACAGACTCTGCTCCTTCCAGGACCAGGAGCAGGTTGCTCCGAGCCTCCACCTCAGCTTTGCCACTTTGTGTTTTGTGGGTTTTTGCTCCAAGAAGACGTGTCCCCAACCGCCCTGTACCCTTTCCTTGTCTTACCTTTTCTCTGTCACTGCTGTGTCTGGAATGAAATGGGATGTCGAAAGCATAAACTCACAGCAATATCCTTGTCAGGAAGAGAGATTTCAACAAAACATAAGCAGACAAAATTCTAATTTAAATCTGCTTAAAGTAGGCTCACTCTGAGCACAAATCAAAAAGGGGAGGTTGAATGATCATCTCTCAGAGAAGTTTTGAAGAGAAGACTTCCTTTTTCTATCTCTGTATCACTCTTTCAACATCTCATTGGATGTTGCATTAGATTTCTGCTAAATTCCATTGTATATCTGCAAGTCTGGTTCTACTTGAGCTGTTTGTATCTGTAATCAGTGATCCCTGATGGTTGGGCTTTCTGAGCATTTTTGTTCTTTTTCATGACCTTTTAAACTCTCTTCTAGTAGTTTAATGGAGGTGTTTGGCTTTTCCTGTGTTTGTCTCTACTTTCAACAATACAGGAAGAGTGTCTAGCTTGGTCATCAGAACCAATTTAGCACCTGGTGTTTTGTTTTCTTTTCTTTCTTTGGCCAGCTTTGGTGGTACTATATGTTAAAAAAAAAAATGCTAAAGAAGCCCTGGGATCAAAATCTAATGAATTGGGGCTGGGGATGTGGCTCAAGCGGTAGCGCGCTCGCCTAGCATGCGTGCGGCCCGGGTTCGATCCTCAGCAGCACCACATACCAACAAAGATGTTGTGTCCGCCGAGAACTAAGAAAAAATAAATAAATGTTAAAATTCTCTCTCTCTCTCTCTCTCTCTCTCTCTGTCCCCCTCTCTCTCACTCACTCTTTAAAAAAAAAAAAAAAATCTAATGAATTGCCTAGGAGTAAATGACCAGTTTGGAGGAATGAATGAACTTTCTGACATTCTGCAGATAGACATTTTTACCTGGATTTTTAGTGTGACTCATTGAGTGAATGTAGAGGTATGCCTTTTCAGAGGGTGAACACAGTCTTAGACTTTGTTGGTTGACAGGCGAAGCTTACATCCTGGGAAGGAATCATATGAAGGAGGAGAAAGGATTTTAGATGGAAGTCAAGAGGAGAAATACACTCCTCTGACTCGGCCATTTTCTTTAGTCAGAAAATCACGTGATCTCTCTTCACCTTGAACAATAAATTTGTGTGATAACTGAATTTAATCCATCAGTTTCTAAGGTTTCTCTAGCCTCAAAGAGGCCAAAATCACAGGCTGTTGCCTCTGGGACACTCAGACCACATCCTGAACTGGGCTTGGTTCTTTTCTTGAAGATTCCCTACCTCGTTGTGAAGAGGGTGGCCATTGGTGTTGGTCATATCTAATTTTAAATGCCACCTGTATTGCATAAACAGTGTGATATTAAGGAGGTCAGCTTCCTTATCCATTAAATGGGAATGAAAGTTACATCTATAGAGTGTTTTAAAATTTAATAAGACAACTCATTGCAGGATTCTTCTCAGGCATAGTGCCTAGGAAACCATTAAGCATGCTATCTTGTTATTGAGAACAGACATTCTACCTTTTATCTTAGACTAACTCAGTTATCTCTTCCTTTCAACTGTGTTTTACTGGAATGGGTTCATTAACTGTGCTATGAATGCTTTAAGAAAACATGACTCTCATACAAATATGGAATGAATACCTGTCAAATTTAGTTGGCTCTATAATGAGGGACCCAGTAAAATGGTAAAGCTGACTGAGAGAAGTAGAGGAGAAGAAGAAATGTGTAGTTCAGACCACAGTACTTTCCTAAACTTGAGACAAATTGGTTAATGTCATGGGGAACTATAACCACAACCTTTAATCTTCTCTTCTTGACATTTGCAGTTCTACCATGTTAACCTACAGTTATAAAATTCCTTATGTAGGCCTGTGAAACACTATTCTTGTATGACATTGTAAAGATATGCAGGTTCCTTTTTGCTTTTTCCAGGTTTGGGGTAATTTTTCTAAATGGTTATAATAAGACCACAACCTAAGTATTATTTATCGTAGAAAAATATTAAATGGGGTATATTATTCTAGTATATAAGTATCTCTTTTCTACCTAAACTTATAATAGATACTAGGTCCACCCATAATTATCTTTTCATAATGTTTCATTAAAGAGGCTACGTGGATATTTAGGAAAAAAACAATTTCCAATGCTGAGGAGGGCAACCATCATTTAACAAGTACTTTTACAGGCCCTGGATCATATAAAGGGCATTATACACATTTTAGTTTAATCTCCAAACAATCCTGTGAGGTAGGTATTATTATTCCACTCCAAAATAGGTAAATGGGGTCTCAGTGAAGTTAAATAATTTAATCAAGGTTATATAGTCAGATTTTCCTGTGCCCTGTTACAGTAACTCTCCTAAATTTTAGAGCACATATCTAGCTAAATACACAGATGATGGGTATAAAGCATGGTCCTTTTCCTATGAAGAGATTTACCTTTTTGAAACTGCCTGAGATAAGTGGCCTTTCTGTCCCCTACATATTAGATTAAAACATGTAGTTTGCAAGAGAAATAAAACCTCAGCAATCATTTGGTTTAGTTCTGTACAGCCTCCCCTCAAACAGTCTTCTTTGTAACTTATTTATCTTTCTTTTCTGTCTTCTGGTCCCCAATGTGTCTGTAGGTGGGCTGGATCCTTTCCATCCTGGATGAGCTGCAGCTGAGCCCCCAGCCTCCTGTAGGGGTCCTTCCTCTGGGGACTGGCAATGACCTGGCTCGAACTCTCAACTGGGGTGGGGTAAGCATCGCTCTCAGAGGTTGTCCCTGCCACAGGAGCAGACAGCATTCCTGGATCACCCACATGCTTGGGAAGAGGGAGGCACGATGCTGTTGGTGCCCAAGAGATGAGTTAGAAATGGGAGTCAAAGTACCCGTGAACCCTGATTTTATTTGGTAGCTTCTTCACTTTAAACTTACCATCAGCTAGAGGGAAGGGAAAGTTCAGAATGAGGAAAATGTGTGGTCAATACACAGGTGTGGGGTGTTAAGAGGTGCCCACTAGGACATAGTGGCGGGGGGTTGGTCTCCAGTCCTTACAAATTTGAATTAATCCTGCTCTCAGCCCTGGTTAGAATAATAAATAAGGTTTAGATCTACAGTCCTACTTTTGGGCAGTAAAATCCTTACCTTATGGCTTTTTTGAGCATGGGTTTTTTTTTTTTTTTTTCTGATTGGTGTTATCATGGCTTTGGCTATACAGGTATCCGACTCTCCTTCCCACTATGGAGCATCTTAAGGCAAGTGTGGGGGGAAGTAGTTCTCCTGTCACTAACTGGCCATCCTATTGTTATTATTGATTGAGTAGTACTAAGATATTAAGAAGGCACAAGATACTAACGTATACCGCCATACATACCCACCTTTTACCTACTCACATAAGTCTCCATCTCATATGAAAATGATCTTCAGCAGACATTAATCTGGCCTTTGGGTACATTAACCTTTTATAGAATTTCATTTTGCTTTGTGGTTTATGGTCAGCAGTATGTAAGTAAATATATTCATATGCAGCAACTGAGGAATTATCAGTGCTCATTTCTCACATCCCAATTAATGATTCACATGTTAATAATCACACTGTCCACAATGCATCCAGGAGGAATGAGTAGCTCCCTAAGAGGTTCCTCAGTCTGATTTGTCTCAGGTCACAGAAGGATGGTGGACTGAGACACCACCAGGAAGGGGTGACTGAGATGGAATGATAGTAGGAGAAACTGATTGATTGGAATCCTGCCTTGATTCTTCCTTTTCTACACACATTTGTTCTGTGTACCCCCAAGTTGCTCTAGTAAGTGGAATGAAAGTCCTATTATTTACTCCAATAAAAACAGCCCTCCAGCATGACATCCTCAATGCCCACCACTGGCTCTTGGTGCCAAAAAAAAAAAATATTTTTCAGCTTAAATCAGTAAGAGTGAGTGTTTTAAGTCCCTTGCCTATAGGTGTTGCCTGGTGTTTTAATACCTGGAGAAAAGCAGCTTGCTCTCCCAGCCTCGCTAACATCAAAATAAGCAGAGCCATAGCAGAAGGACCCTTCTTTGCATGCTGTAGGATCAGAGGCGTTGCTTCACTCCCCACAGCAACGGGTGTCTTTTTTGATTCTGTCCTCAGGGTTACACAGATGAGCCGGTCTCTAAGATCCTATGCCAGGTGGAGGACGGGACCATTGTACAGCTAGATCGCTGGAACCTCCATGTGGAGAGGAACCCAGACTTGCCTCCAGAAGAGCTTGAAGATGGCGTATGTAAGGTTAGAGAGTCCTTCCTTCAGCAGAAAGGAGCCCCGGAGCATCTTCCTCAGTCACAGGAAACACAATTCTGGCTGGAGAGTCCTGGGCTGATTCCTTCCTATAACAGGGCAGCATTTGAGTTCCTGTGTCCCCGGGGCTGTGAGAGTAATAGCACCACCCCCACGGAACCTGCCCCGTGAACCCTCTTTAAAGACTCAGATTTTATGCTTGCTTCCAGAGCTTAGGAAGCTGTCTTTAACTTTCACACTAGCAAGGCATGTATCCCCTATTTTAATCATCCGAGTTAATTGTAAACGACTTATGAGAAGATGGAATATGTACGCGTTCCAAAGCATCAAGCATATGGTCTTTCAGTGGAAAGAAAACCTCCTGAGGTGTCTGGCCTGATATCAAATATTCCTTATGTGTAGGAGGTTTGAACTAAGCCAATTTCTTCACCTGGTTGGGAGTTGAAGATGCCTAAATAAATGCTTTGCCTCAGTGTTTTCTTCTAGTTACTGAGCTTTCATCTCAAGCCAAACCAAGGGCCTAGAGTTATAGATAGTGCTGTTGTGCATCTTCCCTGGAATATCTGGTTCTGAGTTCTGGCCTCAATTTCTGTTAAATGTTGTGGTTTACTGAGAAGATGCTTTCTCTGTGTTATTTTCCACTTGTCTTCTATGACAGTGTTTTCAGACTTTTGTATGCACAAGAATCTCCAGGTGCATGTTAGAGGCAAAATTTCAGAGCTCACACACCAGGCATCCTGATGAACTAAATGTAGGGAGAAGGCCCAGGCATCTACACTTGAAACAGCATCCCTGCTATGTTGTACCCTGTCATTGATGAGGCCAAGATTTCATGGGTCTTTCAGCCTTAAAGTAGACTGAACGTCACATCATTTAGGCTAAGTCCATTCATTCAGTAGCACCAAGATCCTGACCAATTGTGATATGTGCTTTCAAGTTTCTTATTTGGTTAAAATATGTTTCCACCTTGTCTTCCTAGTTTTTTTCACCTAAAATTGTGATTCTGTATTTAATAAAGTTTCTAGTAAATACCATGACTGCTCAATTGAATCAAATGTCCCTTACATATAGGAGGTTTTAGCTAAGCTGAGTTCATTATGTATAATTGAGTTTATAATGTAATGATGCAGTTTAAACAACAAGGATGTAATGCTTTTGCGGGGGGAACGGGTTACCAGAGATTGAACTCAGGGGCACTTAACCACTGAGACAGAAATATAATACTTTTAACAGATGTATTTATTTGAACTTATAGAAATTGGATAGAAAATAGCTAAAATAGAAAGAAGAGTTACCACATGAAAAACTTAAGGCCCTTCTACCAAAGTTGGAATGGTTTGGCCTATAACTGAAGTTCACATTTAATTCTCTTCCCAACAGCTTAAGAAATGGAAAGACTTCTCCATGTAGCCAGGGAACATCAGTCCGGATAATTAAAGGGCTTTGGAAACTGAGTTTTGAGGAGATGTGAAGGAAAATAGGGGCACATTTTCTTGGAAAATATGAATAGCTTAAAAACAAGTTAAATTGGGACATTATTTAGGGGGATTGTGACCAGATGTTTTCCTTAACTATCAGTGGATGCTAAGACATGGGTTAGAATTGTAGCCAAAAGGACATAAATGGCAGAGGAGGAGAACATGTGTGTGGTTTTGGCAGGATTGCCAGACTGTCCTCACTTAGAACTGATATTTTAAGTACAGGAACTGGACATTCTCAAATACGAAGCCAGGAGAGACAGACATGATTTTGGCCTTGTTCTTTGTGTGTAATTTCTCTCTTGGCTCTCCAGTTAGTGAAAACCATTTCTAGGGGTTCAGTTAGCCTCTGGGTCATTATAGGCTCAGATTCAGAGACTTGCATGTGGGGTCCTTCCTTACTTCCATGAGAGACCCAGGCAATCTAAGGTCTTTCTTTCTGTATTGGTATCTCTCTTGCTCCCTCTCTTATTTTGTTTTCCCAGCAGTAAGACATAAAAATCTTATAGATTGTGATTGTGAGGACTGTGAAGCTGTGTAATAAGCTTACTTTTGAACGTGAGGGTTAAAACGCTTCTGATGATAGAGAGGTGCAGTTCAGCTTGGGACACAACCCTGATAATTAACTGTGAATTTGACCTCTCTTTATTTACTTTAATGTTTATCTTTCAGTTTCCCATGTTGCATTTTTCTACTTGTTCTAACACTTAACCAAATCTTTAACATGATATAGATTTTACATTTTTTTTTAAAGAGAGAGTGAGAGAGGAGAGAGAGAGAGAGAATTTTTTAATATTTATTTTTTAGTTCTCGGCAGACACAACATCTTTGTTGGTATGTGGTGCTGAGGATCGAACCCAGGCCGCACGCATTCCAGGCGAGCGCGCTACCGCTTGAGCCACATCTCCAGCCCAGATTTTATAATTTTTAACATGGGGTTTTAGACTGTTCAGGAGCAGCCAGGGCCCCAAAGGCTGTGGGCAGGATAGTTAAGCTAACGTGTGTTTCTGTTTGTAGAGTTCAGTCATATCAAAGATGCAGGCTTGATAAACTAAATGGGAATCCAAATTTTGCTGGTGTATGTACATATGTATATACATATCATATGCATGTATCATATATCATATATGTATCATACAGACACACTTGGGTGTTTATCTTCCCTTTAGATCAACAATACCTGAATGATTTTCAGTGCCTTATTTCTTTTATGAGTTTTGTCATAAAATTTATTTTTAAAGGTAGGGTATAAACAAATTATATATTGTTCAGTTTAAGTTACAATCTTCATATGCTGAATATGAACTCTTGAAAAAAGTGTATCCACTGATTAGGTCGGTTAGACATTATCCTTACAATTGAATTGGCTTTCTAAGTTTGCTTAGTGAACTGATCTTTGTAGCTATCGCAGATGTGTACCCTGAGATTAACAAGTTTCAGTTATTGCAACATGTGTGAGAGTGATTCTTATTTAATAATTTATATCTGCAGCTCTTATTCCTTATACTATTTATAATTCTTGAATTAGTTACTTGATTTAGACCTTCATGAAAGAATTAATTCAAGACCCCTACTCTTTCTACATTAATACCCTCTGCTTTGGGTTGTGGCTGATTTCTCCCAGGGACTGGCCCCAGAACTAAGTAACTGGCATTAGATTTTATTTTCTCTTTCTAACCAGCTACGTACAGTTTACCTCTGTCTTTGTTTATCATTGCAGCTTCCTCTGAATGTTTTCAATAATTACTTCAGCCTTGGATTTGATGCTCATGTCACACTGGAGTTCCATGAATCCAGAGGTGAGGACAGCGTCTCATTTCCATCTCCCAGGGAGGAAGTTCCCAGCAGGTGTTTTGCATGTTCCCTTTTGTTTACATATCACTTAAGTGTTTGCAATGTGCTTCAGTATTGTTCCATTTTAACCTTCATGATGACCTTGGGAGCTAGTCCCAATGGGAAGTGGCTACAAGTGGGGCCCTGAGACCTAATTGTTTGGGATCTCAGAGATACTAAAGTACTGGACTAAATGTACATTCCAGCTCTCAGGACTGTTAACCCTTAACTTTGAATGGAACTTTTGAACTGAGTGAACTACTGAGATAAAGAGAGATGATTCCACTTAAGCCGTGAGGGTACTCACAGCCCCACAAACCACCAGTGATTGAAGCTCCATAGGTCATTACCAGAGCCATTGAAAGATGATAGCAAAACAAAGAAGCAGCAGGCATGTAGATACTAGGGGCTACAGATAATTTGGACACCAAACGTGTAATGATGATTGAATTAGGGAGAAAGGTAGGTGATTCCCAGTGGATGAGACAGGTGTGAATGAGGCATCGGGGCAACTTCAAGTACTAAAAGAGATGGGGAACAAACAAAACAAGTTTTGAAAGAGAAGAAAGATGAAATGTGATGAAAATATTTCATTCAAATTTTCTTAAGCTATTCAGGGCTGAGAAAGTTTAGGATTTCTGTATATGCTTGGTAAACTCTAACAATCTCTTTTTTATTCTCTTGTTCTCTGTCAATCTCTTTCTCTCACTCTCTTCCTATGAATATAACTAAACTTTATATCTATCGATGACTTATGTTGGTACCTGGTTTCTTGCAAATATATTTATATATCCCCCAAAATAATGCCAGGATGTAGGTAGCACTGTACTTTATTCAGAAACTTGGGAGGTGGAAGTCATAAATGAGGAATTACTTTATTTCTTTTCCTCAAGGTTCTGCAGAGCTCAAGGAGTTTTAAATTATAGAATTTGAAATACAGAGTCCTAAAAGCTAGAATTGAAAACTTCACATTCTGGCAATAAGGTAAAAAAAAAAAAAAATTCTGATAATGCTCCTAGGACTAAAATGTCCAGGGTGGAGCTATTCAGACTGTTAGAATACAAATTGCAGCTGAAGTACAGATCTAGAAAGTCTCTCCTAGAGTTCAGGCATTTTGGTAGACCTTGGCCTTTCTGGTTTCATGAGGCGTTGAGGGGAGAGTCTCTTTAGGAGTCATATTCTACGCCAGAAAAGAGTGATACTCAAGCCAGAGTTTGGTCTTCTCTGATTAACTGGAAAATCATGCAGAAAGGATGTTTGATAAAAGAATCTTAAATATCCCAAATCAGAAGCACCTTTGCCCTCCCACATCCTGCTACGGATAAGTCTTGGAGATGTGGTAGTAAGAGGCATCTACATTAGGCCACATTATCACCTATTGTTCTTCTTATGTTTGTGGAGACTTCATTTGGGAGGTAAATGGGACATTTCACTTTTAATTTCTTGGCCCATTTTTTTCCTTTCCCTTTTTTTGTGAGACTGGACCTAGCCTTCTTAATAAGATTCCCAGGTTCCTTAACAACACATATAAAAGAACAGAGTTTTTATTAATACATGAATTTCCCAAAATAGGCCTCCTGGCATGAAAAGAAACCTAAATGAGTAAGTAGCCCACTATGAGCCCATTTAAGTGAGTCTAATACTTAGTCTAATTATCCTGAAAGATATCCTAATGATACACTTTTTTGTAGTTTGATGGAATTTCTATGCATAAAGTAAGAGGAGATCCAGGAATGACACAAGGTGGAAAAACCAGATTTATAAAAGAATTCTCTGGGGAAAAGTAATTTTTTTCTTCTTACTTTAAGCCTTGGGACTCTTTAATTTTAAAGTAGAATATGCAGTTGGGTTTTTTTTTTTTGTGTGTGTGTGTGTGAACATAGTTTAAATGAGTGATATTAAAAAACAATCAACTAAGGATTCCAAGCATTAATCTTTGAATACTTTAATGCAAAGGCTTAGTGTAAGTGTTTTATGTGATATGAAATAGAATTGCTAGCATTTTTCCTATATGCAAACCAGAGCCTTTGGAGGAAAACCAGCTACAAAGAGCTAATAAAGGAGAATTTTGTTGATTGAGAATAATAGATAAAATATTCATGAAGATGAGATTGAGATGGTGAAAATAAATGTCTATAATACAATAGGACTAAATTTTGTTGATACTCCAAGTATCAGAAATCTCAGTATTTATTAATATATATTTTTACATTAAATTTAAAAAATGTTTGCATGAAAAGTATAATTACTAAAGCTAGTTTTTAAACTGATTTCTGTTCATTTGGATTTGCCCCATATTTTTATCTGGTCAGTCAAGAAAATCTTAAGCTAAGCTATAGGAAAAAATGAAACATAAGTAAGGCCACTTTTCAACAGGGGTGAGGATGATTCATTCTTGTTGATAGGGTGTGAGTGGCTGTTCTCAGACAAAGTCTACTCAGAGACGAGACTTCAGACTGTTCTCAGACATAGTCATTCACAATATTAAGGTTTAATGATAAAACTTGTATAATTTACTATAATATACCTGCAGGGTGACTCAAGTCTCAAGAGAGCTGTTCTGGAAAAAAATGATTCTGGATAAAATAACCTATTAGGTATTAGTCAAGAAATACAGTATTTTAAACTGGGAACTATGCCAATCTGTCTACATGCAGTAGTTTATAAATATAAATCTCATGAAGGCAGAATTTTTAAAAATGTAATTGCAGAAAGAATTTTTGGCAGAAATAAGAGAATAGCTCATCAAATGGACAGTTCTTAGCATAACTTACTATATTGTATTTCTTTTAGAAAGGACAATTAAAGTGACATTTATTTTGAAACAGTTTATTGGTGTCATTACAATGCAAATGCTTTTAGAATTACTAGTAGAAAGTCTATCAGGGAGTATGCACAGTCTTAACATTTTGTTTGACTTTGTTTATAAAGTCAGCAAATATTTGACAACTTGGGTTTTTAATGTTTGATAACAAAGAAAGCATGCTTCATTTGGTTGGAAACAGAGATGCTTATTCTCAAAGTGACCAAAGCACCCATGGTTGAATTTGTGCTACTCAAGTATCAAAAAGTGCAATAATATGGAACAGAGTTTGGAGATGTAATAGGATTGATCATTTAATTGTCACTTGGAGTATTGCCCAGTACTTTCATCATTATTGTATTATCACAATGCTTGAGGGAGTATATTGAAAATATTCCAATCTATTAATGTTTAACCTTGTTAACAATGATTATGGTTATCAGTGACAAAGTTAAGTCTCACTTTGTCAACCATGTGAATGAGATTGTTACTTTTTGGGCCTGGATATTAAATACATCAAACTTCTAGCCTGAGATTGGATGCTTGCATTTTATTGCCTCATTGACATTATCATTCAGAGGAGTTGAACTTTATGCTACAAGGTCAAGGAAATGCAATTATGTCTCTGGAGGAGGCAGTATTTAAATTTGATTTAGGATTTACTATTTTCACTGAATATACAGAGGCTTGCAGATCAGCACCTTTCAAAGGATTGTCAATGTTTTATGACTCATTTCATAGGAAACAGACATATTTTTCTAAAAAGGTGTTCCTTGCAGTGGTTTGCTAAATTCCATCACTGTTGTCACTCCGAGGGACACGCTGCATGTCTTTTGTCCAGGCACTGAAGCTGAAGTGCAGTGTGCCCTGGAGAATTCACTGCCTGCGGTCTCTGTCTGAAACTTTCTTTTCCATCTTGAACTTCTATGTGTCACCCACTTGTCATTCATGATTCAAGTATACCTCCCTCTGGAACACTTTCCTGATCACTCTACCACTTCATCTCACAAAAAATATCATCCATAGTAAAAAATTATGTTCTATTTTTCATTTTTTTGACCTGTCACCTCTACTCTGAACTCCATGAGGGTAAAAGACCACATCTTTATTTTTATATTCCCAGTTCACAGCCTTGTGGCTATCTCCGTTAGTATTTGTTGTAGTAACAGAATGTTTGATTGCAGGACAGATCCCACAGATCAAAGATAAATAGTAGAAGAAGGTACATATAGTGAAGGCAATACTAGTTATAGAGGTCATAAATAATACGGGGGTGTTAAGCAGGACTATTGACAGAGGAAGAATATGGGGTAAATTTTCAGAAAGCATAGATGGAAATATGGCTGGGAGATAAAAGAAGAGTATGATATAGTCAAGAAATGAAGTTGATGAGAGCATTTCAGACAGGAGAAAAAAGTACAGAGAGACAATAAACTTGTCATAGGGATGGGTTCGATGAGCAATTAATACACAATAACATTTTTATGGTATTAGAAAAAAAGATGATAATGTTCATAAAAATATTTTTCCTTAAGGGGAGATTATATTGGAAAAAAATGAAAGATTTTTTAGTGCATACAATTTGAATCTAGGATGGTGATGTTATCATAGGCATAGGTTATGAAGTCATTGAACTGAAGTCTTAAAGTAAGTGTCCAATGGAGAGAATATGGAAGTTGTGTGGGGCATATGAAGTTCAAACTGCCTGTTGATTTTTACAAATACAGTTTTGCCCTTGCAAATACCTAATGAATATGTCTCAGGAAAACTGGATTTGATATGCATTTCAGTAAAGATGTTGGAAACAGAGTAAAGGAAAAGTATGGTAAAGATATGCACACTCAATTTATATGTGTGCTTGAACAAGTTTTTAAGATCTGTAGGTTAAAAGACTCCAGTCTGAATTATGAGTCAGGCAGACTTCCTTGTCAATGTACGAGCTGGCATAAATGAATGTGCGTGTAGGTAACATGAGTAATAATCCAATTCTGAAAACTTGGAAATGTATTTTACCATGTGGAGTCTCTGTTCTCGGTATCTGTGTTTATAGTTGTCTTTTCACCTCACCTTTAGGTTTGAGCTGCTTTTCTCTTTGAGTATCTCATCAAAGGCAATTTGGGCTAAGATTAGTTGAAGCAAGTGTGCATGCAGCATTTTTAACCA